GGTCAGATTAGCACCCAGGGGACCGCCTTATAGGGCCCTTAGTGGGGTCCGGGGGCAGAGCCCCCGTAAGCTCTGGGGTTTTAGGCATTTAATTACGGTGAGATGAGCATACTTTGATACCTCATTTGTGACATTGGCAGGTCACATATTTTTTCTCTCTTCCTTTCTTTTTCTCTGTAACAAAGTTTTTCAAAAAGTGAGGGGGGGGGGGGTTCGAGCCCTCGAGCACAGCCGTTCTGCAGGCCCTGACATGAAAGCTTCTAAATAAGCATATTTTTCGCCCGACTGTAAATTTGGGAATTTCTAATTTTCCAACAAACGCATAAAAAGGTATGACTTACAAACAAATTGAGAAAAAATACCGGAAAATCATGTCATTTCAGCAACATTTGTAAATTACTGGTATCGAATAAGAAATAACCCCCCCCCCCCTCCCCCGGCCCCCATCAGTACGCCAGCGTTCAGCTAGAGGCTCAAGTCTAGTCACCCCTATAACAAAAACACACACGCTCAGTTTCCATCCTCTCACAATATTTCCACGATATGCGCGTATCGCTATTATAATAACCTCCATTGACAAATATAGGTGGCATGCGGAATGTTTAGGAAATTTAATTCCTGTTAACTTTCCTTTTCCTTGAATGGAATTGTATATGTGATTTAATAGGTTGTTATTATTCTTTTGCATGGGTTAAACATACAAACTTTCATTACTCCCTAACTGCTTTTCATTTCTTTTTTTTTGGTGGGGGGGGGGGGCGTTTTGCCCCCCCCCCGCCCCCGCACTTTTTTGGTTGGGGGCGAGTGCCCCCCCCCCCACACTTCCGGCGCCTATGCAGGCCAGACTTATTTGTTTTATTTGAGAATTCTATCGTTTCCAAAGCAGTCCGAACATTTTCTCCAATAAATCTACCACGTAAAAAAACGTAAAAAAACTGTTCGTTACAGGATTTATTTTTCGAGGGATGGGCTGAGGTATATAATGTAAATGATGCCAATACTGCATATAAACATTTTAGTAACAAATTGCAATATTATTATGAAAAGAATATTCCTTTAGGCAAAATGAGTAATAAGCGAAATAAACCCCGGAATCCTTGGATAACGAAAGGTTTATTGAAATCAATACAAACACGCAATCGCCTCTACAAATTACATTTACGCAATCCAACTGACACTAACCTAAACACATATAAAATTTATCGAAACAAATTAACAAAACTAATCCGTACATCCCGTAGATTGCATTTTTCTAATAGAATAAAAAGGGCCAGTTCAAACACTACTGCAACTTGGAAAATTATCAAAGAGGTTATGGGAAAAAAAAACGAATCCCCCACCCACGGATAATATCACATTAAATGGCTCTAAAATACATGATCCTAGTCTTCATGCAAATTCATTTAACTCATTTTTTACGAATATAGGCCCTGAACTCGCCGGCAAAATTAATAGAACTCACGCTCACTTTAAAGACTATCTTTCCAATCAAAACCAAGAGTCTCTCTTTTTAAATCCGACAAATCCTAGCGAAATTATTAACATTACCCAACAACTCAAAATCTCACGGTTTTGATAAAATAAGTATGTCTCTCCTAAAAGAAATAATGTATCCACTTGCAAAGCCTTTAACTCACATATTTAATCACTCGTTATCGCAAGGTGTTTTCCCTGATCTATTAAAAATAGCTAAAGTCAACCCCATTCTCAAAAAAGATGATCCTCACGAAATTAGTAACTATCGTCCAATTTCCCTACTTCCAAGTAATATCCAAAGTCTTAGAAAAAAATGGTTCATAATAGGCTACACAAATTTATCACTAAACACAAAATACTCAATTCAAATCAATATGGCTTCAGAAAAAATTACTCAACTGACTTAGCATTAATTCAAATTTATGACAAAATTACAAGTGCCATATAACAAAGAGCATGTTATAGGTATATTCTGTGACTTGAGTAAAGCATTCGATACGCTCAATCACGCTATTCTACTCTCCAAACTCAGTCATTATGGAATTCATGGTCAGCCACTCTCATGGTTTAAAGATTATTTAACAAACAGAAGACAATATGTTACATTTCGTCGCTGTTTTCACGAAGTGACGGTAGTGAAAAAAAATTGCATTCACTTTGCGTTACGATTTTCCTCACTACCGTCACTTCGTGAAAACAAGGACGATTTAATAGTTATGATTCTGATCCTCTTTTAATTCAATGCGGTGTTCCTCAAGGCTCCATCTTAGGTCCACTGTTATTTCTTCTTCATGTAAATGATATTATCAATACATCCCCCTTCTTTCTTTTATCTTATTTGCCGATGATACAAACATCTTTTATTCCCATAAAGACCTTAATTCGTTAAACAATACTTTGAATTATGAAATTAACAAAGTATCAGATTGGTTTAAATCCAATAAACTTTCACTTAATACAAAAAAGACTCATTTCATGTATTTTAAACATCATTCTCATAATACAGAAACACCTATATATATTAAAATCGATGGTATGCTACTAGAGAAGAAAACTAAGTCCAAGTTTTGGGAGTTCTTATAGATGAAACCTTGACTTGGAATGATCATTTACACCAAGTTACAATGTGCATTTCCAAAAGTATTGGAATAATCTCCAAGCTAAAGTTTCTTTTACCCCATGCAACCTTATTCCTACTATATAATTCGCTAGTTCTCCCGTATATAACATATTGTAATAGTGTATGGGCAAATTGTGGTTCGACAAAAACCTATATTTTCGAACTGCAAAAGAAAGTCATACGTATTTGTACAGCCCGAGGTTCGCATTTCTTAGCTCACACTGATCCTTTATTCTATAAACTTAAAACACTAAAATTTTCGATCTGAACACTACTCAAGTAGCAGTTATTATGTTTAAATACATTAATAATCTGCTTCCACCATCCTTTGATAACATGTTTAGGTTTAATAGTTCCGTTCATGCATACTCTACTCGCATATTATATCTGGAAACTTCCATCTTACAAACCCCAAATTATCAATAACCAGAAGCGGATCTAGAGGGGGGGGGGGGGGTTGCAACCCCCCAAAAAAATCCGGGGACCATTTTTTAAAATCTTAACCTTTTTTTTAAAACTTGTAATTTTATTTTATTCTATTTCTATGTATTTATTTCATTTATTATTATCATTATTATTATTATTATTATTATTATTATTATTATTATTATTATTTCTTTTTGGGGGGAGGGGGGGGGTTGGGCGAACAAATGTCACAGAGTCCCTTGCCCCCCCCCCCCCCATCAGCTTTTTTGAGGACACGGGCCACCGCCGAAGTGACAAGCTAGGCCAGCGTTGCCGATTCTCATCCCAAAATCCCCACATTAAAAAAATTGGGGGATTGTTGAAGTCTTTGGGATGAAAAATAAATATTTGGGAATGAAAATAATATTGAGTTTTATGAAAAACGAATTTGGGGATTTTCTGTCAAAATTTGGCAACTTTGGGGATATTTTAAGTGTCGTTTGGGTGGGGATTTTGTGAAGATTTAACCTGGCAACGCACGCTGAGCTGGGCTGCTCATTTCCTGGATTACTTGTTCAAGTTGCTCACTTTTTTATCAGTCTGGTCTAAGTGTAGTGACAAGCAATATGGAAGCAAACAGGGCAAAGAAGTTGCGGCAATCCAGTCTCGCATCTTTTTTTACTGGAAGGTATGTTTGAATCATGCAAAAAAGTTGGCATACAGGGTAAATTACCATACATGGGGGTGTAATACGGACGTGTTCATGCACTAGCTGCTTTTTATGGTCTCCATTGTGTTAATAGATGCCAGGAAAACATCACTTACGGGGTTCAAATAAACACCCCCCAAAAAATCGGTTCGCGGCTCGTGGACGATGCTCCGCATCGTCATTATTGGTCAAACCCCCCCCTTAGCAAAAAGCTAGATCCGCCCCTGATAACTCACAAATCTGTTAGACATTCTAGCCCGGACATTTGGAATAATTTTCCCGACAACATAAAGTCTTGTTCAACCATCTACTTAAAAGCTACACTTAAACGACAAATAATACAATCGTATGCTCCTCTCTCTTTAAATTAGTATATAACAAAACCGTGACTTATTTTATTCTTTATCATGCAACTGCTCACTGCATGCACCTGCACTTGCACCGCACCCACTTGATCACTCAGTTTTCCGAAGAGAGTTATGTCGCCAATTCTTTTTATGAGGCCGCCATCCATCTCCAGCCTAACCGCTCACGATGGTGGTCTCCTGCGTTCTAAATTACCTCTCTAATTTATTGAAAATATTTCATATTTCTTATCTCATTGAATGCTTCGTACACTGTTTATCGAATGATATAATTGTAGGCCTACATGATTTTTCATTTAATTGCTTTTGTAAACATTTTATTCATTGTATTTGTTATTGGTCGAAATTTTGTACTTTGACTTTGAATTTGTATATTTTTGAACGCAGAAATAAAATCAATCAAACAAACAAACTTATTAATGGTCGGCAAAACCTTTTTCAGTCTTAAAGAGATGCATGTAGCAATAAGTTTGTAATCTGTTTTTATAACTGTAATCTTGACATTTCATTATGTAACCCAAGAAGTATGGACAAAAGGTTTCGGCATGTAATCTATATGAGAGGAAAGAGTAAGATCTCAGCTTTAAATTGGTGTAGCCCATTATTTATTTAAAATGTCATACGATAGTTTTAACAGCCTTCAGCAAAGTTGGAAACGCATTTTGGCCATTATTTTCTGTATAGTGCAAATAAGCCTTCCGATATGCCAGTTTGAGCCACATTCAATCTGAAACAATAAGACCCAGCCAAAAAAATTCGGTGATCTAGATCTATATGAGAGCAAAGCGTAAGATATCAGCTTTAAATTGGTGTAGACTAGCCATTTATATTTCAATGTTAGGTGGCCGTTACCGTCAGCCGCGACGTGCACAGTTTTTTCTTTTCCTATTCGATTAATTGCATCAGGCCGCCTAGGCTAGGCGGCCTCATTATTGGTGGCTAGCGCTATATCAATCAGTTTCATTGAGCGAGCGGATTCAACTTCAAGTAGCGTTTTAGGACGCCCGTATTTCCTTTATTAACATAAATGCCCAGAAGCCAGAGGTGACTCAGCTGAGAGAGCAGGTAAGTGCAAAATAAACGTACTGTATTCAGCCTCAGTGGCATTAAGTAGAGTTTCTACTCCTGGAAAGGTCCAAGATTGAGCTGCAGCCAACTTCTTTAGAAGATTTTGCTTCAGCTTCAGTCCCGCTTGCTCAACATCACGTTGGAGCTGGACCGGAGTAGACCGAAAACTTCAGTCTCTCTAATCGTCGGTTGTTCCACTGAGACTACGTCTGACTCCACTAGACCTCCGATTATAGAGACTGAAGTCTGCATGGGGACCTCTTTCTGTGAGGCACTGTACGGAACAAATGGTTTGGTTCGACCGGACCGCGATGAATGAGATATGCAACGAGATTTTCACTCTTTACTTACATCCTCATAACTGCTGCAATTATAACACAAATTAAAAATAACATAGGCCTATAGATCTATATAGCTTATTTGACTTACGATAGCTTGCTCATTTAGATCCTAAATTAATGATTAATCCGAGAAAGTCTCGTAGATCTAACGTTAGTCAACATTATCCGTCTTGGTGCTGTTAGTTGATGAATATTCATTTTTTCTTTTCGAACGTCCAATAGCTACCGTAGCTACGTACGAGTAAGCCCAGCTTGACCAACGAACTCCCACGAAACGAGTGCTCTGATTGGCCATTTGGCTATGTTTTGGTAGGTTGACCCGGAAATATTTTGGCCGCCGGGTCATATAGCCCTATGTTCCGAGTGCATGAACGTTCGGAGATACAAATTGGATAATTCATATAAGTAAGTCCGTAATTTATCCATTTAATATTGAGTTATCAAATTTTGATAACTGTAATTAGGACAAATGACATACCGACCTAATTTACATCTGATTTAGAAATCAGGAAATTAGATCTAAATAAAGAAAATCGGGGAGAAAATGTCGTGGACGAAAATATGCACATATAGCCTAGATCCTATAGCCATCCCCACGGTACGAGATCTCTGGGTTGCCATCTGTATTGGGGAATGACAACAAATGTCAGTTTTATTAAAAAAAAAAACCAAATCAGATGGTTATATTGCTGTCTAGACCGGAGAAGCTAGAAGGGCCTGAGCTGAGCTACATGTAGGCCTAGCCCTAGACCGAATTGGGTTCAGACAGAGGCGTATGTGCTCAGCTTATACTGACCATTGACGATCTGGCCAAGGGAATCGAAGAGAAAGGGCAGACTGATTTGATACTAGGTCTACTGGACTTCTTCTTTGGATTAAGTTTACCTCCTTCACCATGTTCACAGTACGGTAGTACATTAGTTGAAGAATCTGATGATGTGTGTGTGTGGTGCAATGTAGACTGAAAGCTTCAGTCTCTGAATCTGATATCAACGGTTGTTCCGCTGAGATTGCATCTGGCTCCTCTGACCGCCTCTATATACATAGACTGAAGTACGGCCTATAGCTGAGTGGAACAAATGGTTCGGTTCGGCCGGACCGCGATGAATGAGATATGCAACAAGATTTTCACTCTTTACATCCTCATAAATGCACTTTTGTTGCAATATTACAATAGGATTATTAAAATATAAAAAAATAAACAAATATGGCTTTGACTTACGATAGCTTGCTAATTTATATCCTAAATTAATGATTAATCCGAGAAAGTCTCGTAGTCGACATGATTCGTTGTCATCCATCTTGGTTTTAGTTGATGAATATTCATTTTTTCTTTTCGAACATCCAATAGCTATGTACGAGTCAACCCAGTGATATATTCATAAACCCAATACGAAACGAGTGCTCTGATTGGCCATTTGCTATGTTTTGGTACGTTGACCCGGAAATATATCGGCCGGGTCAGGTCGTAGATTACTAGTTTGAACGGATGAACGATACGTTTCACGGTTCGGAGAAAAAAATTGGATAAGTCCGTAAATTTCGCATTTTATAATAGGTCATCTAAAAATATTTAGTGTAAATAGAACAATATACCTATTTTATATCTGATTTATAAATCAGAAAATTAGATCTCAATAGTGAAAATCGGGGAAGAAAGTTTCTGTCACAAAGTGGTATGAATAGTTGGCCAGATTACCTCCTCGGTGCGAAACCTCTGAAGTACCGTCTGTATATTGGAAATGTCAACAAATGTCAGTTTTATTAAAGAAATGACCCATATCAGATGGTTATTTCTCTAGGTGCAATGCTATTAACGTGGTGCAAGAAAAAGTTCCTGGACTTCAGCAAAGCCTTTGACAAGGTCTCCCACAGATTGCTCCTACACAAGCTGGAGCACTAGTAATAGTCACACATAGGTGCATTGCTAGATCTATATCCTGGCTGTGTATTAAAAGCTGTGCTATTGAATTTCAAACATTTCAAACACCACTCACAAAACTCAGCTGATTTCACTAAAAATCGGTACTTTAGTGACAATTGATAAGTAAAATACAATTTTTTCAACTTTCCGATGTTAGAAAGAATAATTTAAAAGTTGAAATTGTGAGTCCACTGTCAAACTTGCCGATCAGCCGCATCGGAATGATTGTGTGCATCTGTGTGTTTAATATGAGTGTATTGACTATTCATGTGTTCAAATGCTGCCTATATTAAACGTAGTGCAGTGCTAGAGGTCAACCGTCAATACGCATTAGCATTGACTCTCTATGCTTGGCTGGAGTGGTATTATAGTATGGTGTATGTCACTATGTGGTACAACTCTACTTTGCACGAAGAACTTGCGCATTGAGCGCTGTACAGCGAGTTTACGTGCTCTCATTGGCCGATCCGCCCGAGTGGCTTCGAATTTAAGTTCAATGGCAAAGTCAATACGTAATATTATGTCACACTCACACCACAGAGATTTTGACACGTCCTGCTTTAAACAAGTGACGCAATTCACACATAACTGACGCACACACGGCATTGCATATAAAATAGAAAAATCAAGGAACATTTCAGGAAAAATTCCAGTTTGTATCTTAAATATGACGAAAATAGTTAAGTAAAACTTAAAATTAAGTGACATACCTAAGTGAAATACTTAATTGAAAAAATCATAACAAATAGAGGGTTTGACTAAGCTATATTAATTTTGGTATACCGTTAAAAAACCCCGGAAAATTGCAAGCTTGCTCCACGCACAAATATCGTATAGCATTGAGTGGATGGAGAACACAGACCTGCCAACCAGTACGATTTAGTCGTATTTAGTACAATTTTTAGAAGCAAATACGACAGTATGATTTTCCTTAATAATTTTTTTTTTATTTTAAATTATTTTATTTTAAATTAATATTTTGTGTGTGCGTCCGCCATTTTCAATGGCAAAATGTCCATTCTGTCCTGTAAAGTATCCTACAAGCATCTCACATCGGCAATTTGGGGATGTTCATTGGTTCATCGAACACACCAGTCATGACGAAATCATGCATATTCAACCAATGATCAATAAAATAAAATCTTCCTTTAGGTAGAAACTGTAAGAGGCATTGGTCCGCGTAACAATCCGTGTTTATTTTCAAGAATACAACTTTTGTCAGTAAAATACAACTTTTGGGACTAAAGAATACAGTTTTTGAACTCCAGAGGTTGGCAGGTCTGAGAACAGAGATAGCCAATCTGAAGGGCCCGTGTCGGCTAGGCTAGGCGCCAACTTACGAATATGAGGCTGAGATCGGATGAACGATCTGTGGTGCATGCGCTAATTGTAAGCTAAAGTTCTACGTGCTTTAGGTCAAGGACTTCCTTAGTCAACGAACTCAACAAGTTCTGGTAGACAGCCAAGTCAGCCCATAGGCAGATGTTACGTCTAGAGTCTTGCAAGGCAGCGTCCTGGGACCACTTCTCTTCCTGGCGCACATTAACGATCTCCCAGAGTGCGTTAAGAGCTCCACAGCAAGACTATTTGCTGATGGCTGTGCGGTCTACAAGAGAATCACATCACCTGCACTACTTCAGGACGACTAAGATGCCTTGCAGAAGTGGGAAAGAAAGTGGCTAATGGAGTTCCATCCTTCCAAGTGCCAAGTTGTTTGTATAACAAGCACAAACCTACTCCTTCAACTTACTCCATCCATGGATTGATCCTTGATGAAGTTCACTCTGCCAAGAGTGTTGAAGGACAAAAAGCTGTCCTTCAACACACATGTTGACATCACCACCAAGAAGGCTAACTCCATTCAAGCTCTTCTCCAACCCAACTTCAACAGCTGTAGCCGCAAGATTAAAGAGGCAACATACAACACCTATGTGAGACCAATAGTGGAGTATGCAACAACTGCATGGGACCCACATACTCAACGAAACATCAAGAAGCTAGAGCAGGTCCAAAGAAGCAGCGCAAGATATGTCACCAGCACTTATGACCGCAGATCAAGCGTAACAGCCTTACTGAAGGATCTACAATGGCCAACTCTCCAGAGTAGGCGCTGCCAGAGTCGACTTGCTATGCTCTACAGAATCCGCTGGGACCTGGTAGATATCAAGTGGAAACAACATCTCACTGAATCTACGTCCATCACAAGAGGTCATGGCTCACGTTTCTGGACTCTGTACTGCAGCTCCCAAGTGTACTTTTCCTCCTTCTTTCACCGCACCAGCAAAGAATGGAACTCTCTGAAGAAAGACCCAACAAAGTTTGGCTCACACGAGCCTTCAAAGTGGCATTGAAGGATGTCACCGTCTTGCATGCAGGCAAGCTACTTATTAACTGCACATCACTATACAATGTACATACCTGCACCAGAAATCTTGTCTGCGTACTATTGACTGTGCGCGCATCATCCCACAGAGCGTTACCTTCATTTCATGAAGCCTGCACTTTTCAGGAAGAAGAAGAAAAAAGAGTCAGTTTTTGAATGATATCGACGGTTCCGCTGAAATTGCATCTGGCTCCTCTGACCACCTCTATACATAGACTGAAGAACGTCCTATGGGTACTGTGAGGGGAGAGTGGCTGAACAGAGATGAGTGAGATGCGATGGGGTTTTTCACTTTTTACCAGTTCACGTTTTCATCATATCCAATTTGGCTGCAACACTACACTCGATCCTGTTATCTTTAAAATAGGGAGGCCAATACCCGGGCGTAAGGCTTCTTCGCCTACGATTTGTGCGCTCGTCATCCAAGTCAGATTTTGGCTAGATCCAAACATAGGGTGTCTGAACGATTTTTTAATTTTCCCTTTGTCCCATTATGGTTGGATAATTGATTTGTCTATAAGAAGAACACATTTCAAATTTCAAGACTCACCGATGTCTCTATCAAAAGATACGGTCCACTGAAATCTAGGCAATATTCATCTAATTTTGGTCCAGAATGGACAAAAAATGTGGTACACACCGAGTTATAATTTTCGCCCAACAGCTGCATTTATAGGCGATATGCAAAAGTAGGGGAAGGGTATTTTCAAACTTAAATCGTATGTTATCTCTTGGGGCTAGCAAAACTCAAAAGAGGGGGTTTCCAGAAAAACATACACATAAAAAAAAAACTCAAGGGAGGGGGGGGGGGGGTTTAACCCCAACCCCCCCCCCCCTCCCTCCTGCGTACGTGCCTGCTGGGAAGCATATAGATAATGATGTTTCATATTGTTTCACAGATAACATGGCGACGAAGCATGCTTGTTGGACGTCTGCCTCAAGTACAGATGGAGGAGAGGGAATTACTCTTCAGTCATCACAGGAACATGATGAAGGTATGGAGTGTTTCAATGATAATCGAGTTCAGTATATATTTATATGCTCTTTCTCATCTTATCTTGAAATAAATGCCCCAGTGGGTGTGATTTCTTTTGTTTTTTGTTTGTGTTGCTTTGAGACTGAAGTTTGTTTATATTCATGAATCAGAACGTTAAACATTAAAATTTCAAAGGTGTGAAGAGTAGACCTATTGCAAGTCTGAAAAACTTTAAACACCTTAAAAAGGAGCTGGACCTTATAGATGGTACCTCTAGCTAGAACATGAGTTGTGCAAAAACAGGAAATTGAGGTGATCCCTTACACCTTTAGATAAAAATAGTTAGGAAGGCTCTCTCTCAAAACAAGAGAAGAATACCGTAAATAGGCCTATAAAGATAATTTAGTCTCTGCACTGATTAAAAAAATTAATATAAAAGATTTATTCAATACACTGAACAAAGTATTGTGATTCATGAATGTTAGGCATGTGCAATTGAAAATTTAAAGGGAGATTGCTGGCAGTTTCCATGTTCAGAAGGTCATATTTCGCTGACACCAGACTTGACACCAGGCTTGGTGGAAGTACCATTGATGGGTGTACAAGTCTTGCATACAGCAAATCGTAGTTCCATCAAAAAATACCCCACCCCTAGTCTTTCAGAGAATGTAAAATATGTAAGATAATGGCTTTACCATATAAGGATGGGTGGAATAAGCAGAGCATCACATAAGGCCTGTTGCTGATAAAACTGAAGGTGATTGACAACACTTATTATTGGGTAAATGCCCAAATGGTGTCAAATTCCCCAGTGAGAGCCCACTACAATGCATCTCTTATATACAACCTTCATTCTATCACCTACACATCAAATCATGAAGAAGAAAACAAATTAGTAAGATTTATTAAAAACAAGTCGATCCACTTTATTTGCACCAATACAACCCGGCTCTTAACAGATGCTTAATACATAAATATTCAAAAACACAATTTACATATTCATCAATAACAAAAGTATCCACTTCACTCTGTATTGTAGAAATGATAAGTGTAATGATCAAGAATTTTAATGATTTTTATTTTGACATGTACAGGAAACATCAGTATCAAGGAGGAAGGAGAAGTTGGGAAGGAGACGTGTCTTTCCATTCCAGGTTCAAAAGGATTGAGATATGAGGGTCAGCTTGTAACTCATGATGGTATGCTATAGGTTCTTGAAGGAAAATCAAACATTGAGATATGAGGGTCAGCTTGTAACTCATAACGGTATGCTATAGGTTCTTGAAGGAAAATCAAACATTGGGAGATGAGGGTCAGCTTGTAACTCATAACGGTATGCTATAGGTTCTTGAAGGAAAATCAGACATTGGGAGATGAGGGTCAGCTTGTAACTCATAACGGTATGCTATAGGTTCTTGAAGGAAAATCAAACATTGAGATATGAGGGTCAGCTTGTAACTCATGGGGGTATGCTATAGGTTCTTGAAGGAAAATCAAACATTGAGATATGAGGGTCAGCTTGTAACTCATAACGGTATGCTATAGGTTCTTGAAGGAAAATCAAACATTGGGAGATGAGGGTCAGCTTGTAACTCATAACGGTATGCTATAGGTTCTTGAAGGAAAATCAAACATTGAGATATGAGGGTCAGCTTGTAACTCATAACGGTATGCTATAGGTTCTTGAAGGAAAATCAAACATTGGGAGATGAGGGTCAGCTTGTAACTCATAACGGTATGCTATAGGTTCTTGAAGGAAAATCAAACATTGGGAGATGAGGGTCAGCTTGTAACTCATGGGGGTATGCTATAGGTTCTTGAAGGAAAATCAAACATTGAGATATGAGGGTCAGCTTGTAACTCATGGGGGTATGCTATAGGTTCTTGAAGGAAAATCAAACATTGAGATATGATGGTCAGCTTGTAACTCATAACGGTATGCTATAGGTTCTTGAAGGAAAATCAAACATTGGGAGATGAGGGTCAGCTTGTAACTCATGATGGTATGCTATAGGTTCTTGAAGGAAAATCTAACAATAATAGCAAATTGCTCTGAGAGAAAGCAAAAAAATTGGATAATAGGATTGGTGAAAGTTAGAACAACATCGTACAAGAAATTTGAAAGTTATGAGTGTTTAAAGTATGATATCACTAAGTCAAAGCAAATCTCAAAATTGGGCTATTTGATTTGACTTTAGTGCACTAATACAAATATATTTTGTATAATATAATATTAAAGGTTTTCTAAAAAAAAAAGACACTCCCAAGTCATATGTGTTGAAAAATTGATGTTTTAGTCATTTTGTGTGTTGGAACAAATGGGATAGTTGTCCAGCAGTTCATCATAGTGACTTTACAAATTCAGCCTATTTGAAGTGCCTATGCATATGTTTACAAATTACAACTTTCAATAATGCATTATCATAACTTTCTTATTTTGTTTCCAATTTCTTCCAAACTTTCACCCGTCTGCTTCTCAGATTTGTCTACTTTCTTTTAGAGTAGTTTGCTATCAGGGTTGAGTATCACTTAAAAGGAAAATCAAACCTTAAATCGTTTGAACCCACTAAAAAATGCTTGCAAAGTCCAATAAAATTTTTAAAAAATGAAAATATCCATATAGATCTAATTGCATACATTTATAGATCTATGTCCTTCAATGTTCTTTTCCCTCTGTTTCATTACCATGACATTCATTCTTGGGAGTTATTGGCATATCTTATTTTATTTTGCTATAAAATTCATTCCTCTCTTTATAGCCAATAATAAGTAACCAGATTAAATTTTACTTCTCAAATGATATAAAAATATATTTAATGTGTTCATAACAGGCCTGGTCTTCACCATCAAACAAGAAGTTGACACTGACATGTTTGAATCCCTCTCAAGTACAGAAGGACAAGACCCATCGACTGAACAAGGTATCATGAAGTTATCAAGATAATTCTTTTGTACAAATGCGCGTAGGCCTGAGGGTGGTCAACAACCCCAAAACATAAAAACAAAACAAAACAAATCAAAGGCAAGCATTGCATAAAGTCCAATGTGGTTGGCCTCTGGGGTTTATAGATGCACTCTGGCGCAATTCCTTATTTTAAAGCATTTCAAACAAATTTTGTACCTCATATTATTGAATGGTTTTGGGTGGGAATGAACATTAATCTGTTACTGAATTTGTTAAAACCCCTTGTGGACCCGACACAGAAGTAAATTAGTTAAAGGTAATACAAAGTTTGGGGAAATTTTGAAAATGGCTGGATAGCCATTCTTTAAATTGTTGATATATTTGGATGCCCCTGAGGATGTATTATAAGCACTAGAAAATATAGCCCCTAAGCACTTAATTAAATATCAAAACTTACCGGTGCTCCCGGTAAATTATGATAAATTTCAAATAGTGCCTATACGGCCATCCAGTGGTACCTGCAACCATGAAAATCTCAGAATATGCAGTTGTGATATATAATTTCCAAACGGGAATAGCCGATCGGTCGATTTTAGTCAAGAAACATAATATCTTGACCTTGAGAGAGAGTTATACACAGTGTGTGCGGGCAAGTACAGAATCCAAAGACCGGTGTAATAGTATATTTGTAAAGTGCTTAGAGACATTGTATTAAGCGCTATATAAAAGCTAAATATTATTATTATTATCATTATTTATAATTTCATCACTTTAGACTCTAACAATCACTAAATATTGTAGGATCGCATATGCTTCCAATATGTTCATAACCCCCATACAAAAATTTTGTATTACCTTTAAGATACAATGAAGATATTAACTACTGGGGTATCGTTTCACAAAATCGTCAACAGTACAAATTCACAGACATCCAATTGAATATTTGTAAATGTTAAATTCAGTACACACATTTTGATTGGTTGTGCAACAAAGCGCTACAGGTACTTATTACAATTTCGTTGAAACACTGCCCAGTTTTCTGTTTTGAATGAATTAGTAATTCATTGTTGAGGTTGGCTTGAGGAAGACTAAAATTTAAAGCATGATGACTAGGCCTATATTCAGAAGGAAGGTAACGACTTACTAAGTAAATAGCATTTTCTCTATGTTCCAGTTTAATATCTTTAACATCCAGTTGCACCACAAGCATTGACATGGTCTGAAAAATAGTTAAAAATCCTCCAATAACTAGTAAAAGCACAGCTATTAAAAAGAATGATGTTGAACATTTCTTCTTGATTTCCTTTTCTTATAGAAATAGTCTATGCCATCATAAAGCAAGAAGACAAAGAAGAGATATTTGAACCTATTACACCTCACGGTGAAGGAGGAGGAGAAACTGAGCAATCAATTCCTGAAGGTATGATCAACAACACCCCCCCCCCCCCCGCCCCCCAGGACAATATTTCTTTCATTTTAATGGTAAATGGATTCCTTAAAGGGAAAGTCCATCCTGATATTAATTTGTTTAAAATAAGATCCCCCTAAAAAGAGAGAAGCAAATAAGGGTTAGGTATCCCTTAAAAGGAAAATCTAACCATAAATTGTTTGAGCGAAACAGAAAGTATGAATGTTTGTCGTGAAAAAGGAGGATGTATCCTTGGGGTACACTCCTGCTAGCAAAGTCCAATTAAATTAAATCTATTTACATACATCTATAGATGTACTGCAATTTTATTTTCCCTCTGTTTCATACAATGACATTCATTCTTGTGAGTTATTGGCACACCATATTTTATTTTCTATAAAATGCATTCTTCTCTTTGTAGCCAATATTAAGTAACCAGGTCAAATTTTACTTCTCAGATGATATAAAAAATATCTTTACTTTGTTCATAACAGGCCTGGTCTTCACCATCAAACAAGAAGTTGACACTGACATGTTTGAATCCCTCTCAAGTACAGAAGGACAAGACCCATCGACTGAACAAGGTATCATGAAGTTATCAAGATAATTCTTTTGTACAAATGCGCTTAGGCCTGAGGGTGGTCAACAACCTAAAAACCTAAAAACAAACAAAACAAATCAAAATCTAAAATTGGAACATGAAAGGAGTATGTAGCCTACTGATGCATGCATTGCGTGAAGTCCAATGTGGTTGGCCTCTGGGGTTTGTAGATGCACTCTGGTGCAATCCTTATTTTAAAGCATATCAAACAAATTTTGTACCTCATATTATTGAAAGTTTTAGGGTGGGAATGAACATTAATCTGTTGCTGAATGTGTTAGAACCCCTTGTAGACCAGACAGTGACGTAAATTAGTTTAAGGTAAACACAAAGTTTTGGGAAATTTTGAAAATGGCTGGATAGCTATTCTTTAAAATTTCGATATATTTTGATGCCCCTGAGGATGTATTATAAGCACTAGAAAATATAGCCCCTAAACACTTCTGCTTTCGAGAAAAATTGAATATCAAAATTTACCAGTGCTCCCAGTAAATTTTGATGAATTTCAAATAGCACCTTACAGCCATCCAATGGTAGCTGCCACCATGAAATTCTCAGAATGTGCAGTTGTGATATATAGTTTCCAAACGGGAATAGCCGATCGGTCGAGTTTAGTAAAGAAAAATTGTTTTTATGCTAAATTAATATCTTGGCCTTGAGAGAGAGAGCTATGCAGCATAGAGAGTTTATTATTTACAATTTCAATTTCATCACTTTAGATTCGATTTTAACCGCAACAACAATCTCTGAATATTGTAGGATCGCACATGCTTCAAATATTTTCATGACCCCATCCCAAAACTTTGTATTACCTAAGATACAATGATGGTATTAACTACTGGGGTATCGTTTCACAAAATCGTCAGCAGTACAAGTTCACTGACAACCAATTGAACAACATGTATGCGTTATATTCAGTACACGCATTTCGATGGGTTGTGCAACAAAGCGCTACCGGTACTTATTACAGTTTTGTTGAAATGCTGCCCTGTTTTATGTTTTGAATGAATTAGTAATTAATTCATTGTTGAGCTTGGCTTGAGAAAGACTAAAATTTAAAGCATGTTAACTAGGCCTATATTCAGAAGGAAGGGAACAACTTCATTTAATATTAGCATTTTCTCTATGTTCCAGTTTAATATCTTGAACATCCAGTTGCACCACAAGCATTGACATGGTCTGAAAATAGTTCACAATTCTCCAATAATTAGCAAATGCACAGCTATTAAAAAGAATGATATTGAACATTTCTTCTTGATTTCCTTTTCTTATAGAAATGGTCAATTCCACCATAAAGCAAGAAGACAAAGAAGAGATATTTGAACCTATTACAACTCAGGGTGAAGGAGGAGGAGAAACTGAGCAATCAATTCCTGAAGGTATGATCAACATTCTTTCATTTTAAAGGCAAATCAAATCCTTAAAGTCCATTCTGATATTAATTTAAAAAAAAAAAAATCCCCCCAATAAGAGAGAAACAAATCAGGGTTAAGTATCCCTTAAAAGGAAAATCAACCTTCATATTTTAACAGGCTAGACCCAACAGTAATTAAAATATGGCTAGGTGAGCTTTTGTTTTTTTAAACGGGAATTTTGATTGAATGTACATTATATATACAAAATGTACTAAAATAGGTTTTTGCGGCCAATTTCAGACTTTTGTCATTCAAATTCATATTCCGAGCATTTGAATTCGTGCAATTCGCACTCGCAGCGTTGAATCAGCTTTCAAATTCAAAATCCGTCATTCAAATTCACTATCCGTGCAATGAAGTGTCATATCACTGGATCCAAAATGACAGTCGGTTGCTTCATCCTTTCAACTCATCAAATATTGTACAAATATCACACTTTTCGTGGCATATTCAAAATATATAAATGCACATACCAAGATATGCCTAAGATAAGACAATTTCAAAAGTTTTGTTTATTTGGTGGTGGAATCGGTGTTATGTCTGAGTATTGTAAAATTGTGTATGCTGTTCTTAGGATGGGTGAAGTATACTTGTTCTTGTAGGGGGTGTTATCCTTTTTTTTTTCATGGAAAACTGATGTATTGTCATGACCTGATAATCAATATTTAGCAATTTTATGTGAGTAAAATCACCCAAATTTCAAACAATCATGTGTGCATGCTTCCGCGCAGTGTTGGCATGCCGTTTTATTTTCGATTCATAGTGCCACTTAGGAAATTACTGATTTATTCCAAAAATTAGTGATTTTGAGCCTTGTGATTACTGATTTTCTGTTCTGGAGGTTGGCAGCTCTGTTTGTATTGTTCCCATGTTCTCAAACATGCATAGCCTAGGCTTTTACGTTGATATGTTTTACAGTATGTAATAATCAATATTAAATTAATGTTTTTCTGATAATTTTCATGCAGTGCAAGTAAATCATACGTAAGCTTACGTAAGTAATTCATACAATGCAAGTAAATCCATACATTGAGAGAGACAATTACAATTACAGTTTAGTCCTGAAGTTCATACACCCCAAGAGAGGCGTAGCACAAGAAAACACTGTAGGCAGGTAAGCCTACATGTAAGTCTATGCGTGGGGTGGGGGGGGGGGGGGTATGAGTTGACTGATTCTGAAATTTGTTGTGCGAAATATCAGATAGCATATCAATGAATAATTTAACACCAATTTCAGGTGTTAAAAAACTTATTTCATGATGATAGCAGACAAAATTGACAGATTTTGACAGGTTTCGAGACAGAAATTTGCATATAAAATTTTATGCCAATTTATGATGTCATTAATAGTTGAAGACAATAAAATAATTTTGTCTACCTATTGCTGTATGATGTGCAAAGATCGTTAATTAATTTGGTGGAGATCAGATTTATATCTGCTGAGAACTGGTAAAATATAAGCGCATAATTCATAGACCCTAAGAAAGCGTTCAAAACAAGAAAAACTGCCATTTTACATATCTTCAAATAAGGGGCAAAAAAATAATGTCTAAATGAAATTTTTCTTGGGAACATCTTTTTTTCTCTGATGAAATGGATCACAATGAACAAAATGACACCCAAGAAGTAGGATCATAGGGGGGGGGGGGGGTGCACGGTAGCCCCTCTGGCCCATGGACTAATGGCGCTCATATCTGTCAGACTTGACACTCCTGGTACTCCTGATTATTACCATGGCTTTAATTTTCTTCTATTTTGTAACAACTTTTGTCTCTTGCAATATGATTTAAGCTAAACTATAATTGGAAGATCACCTTTTCCTTGCTGAAGAAAGGTCGCCAACTTGATGGCTACGGTCTATTTCTTTCTTCTTCACAAACGAGAGTATTGGTATTTTTTCCATGCTCCAAAGGTTCTTTTGCAGCTGTTTTGAGAATACTGCTCTTATAAACTTGGCATTTCAGGTTTGCAATTTGTTTGAGGCTGTTATCAGTTCACTTGGATGTTTGATGGCTGTCTCCTTCTCATTCACCTTCATCTCGACATCCATCAAGGTTGATTTTGCCTTCTCTGATGAGGTGTGAAGGTACTGAAATTGTTGCGAGTTCATCACAAACTTCAGTTATTTTAATATCAGACTTTCTGAGACTTTCAATAGTTATGAAGCGTTGATCATGATGATCAAGTTTGTGGTGAATTTCATCAAATTATTTGAAATTTCATGTAATTTGCTACTACCATTGTTTGAGAGTGCCTCCTTGGAGTCATTAATGTCTAGAAGCTCCTTATGCTATTGCTGTCTGTTTGGGAGGCATTGTAGTACTACTAGCTAGCCTAGCCCTATATAGGGTCGACACTAATTACTACGTCACCACAATCACGATTATCACACCGGTATTAGTATCAATGCATGTACGCAGTTCACTGAACGTTTCATCAAGTATGGGACCGTAGTAGATTATTTCGAAGATCCAACAATATCTATCAAGTATCAACAGTCTGCACAAGAATGGTAGCTAAATTCAATATTATCGATTCATATGTATTACCATTCCGTATTCAGCACCCATTCATTCATTATGGTAAACGGATTTTGCAGTTCTCTTCCTCCTTATTGGCAATATATTCTTGAAGAAAGTAATTTTATCGTCCAAGTTTTAACAGGAGTCTGCCAGTCATATACCGTGTACATGATAAAAAATACCCCTAACTTTCTTAATTTCTGGATGTCTGCCCAACAGTTTAAACCGAATTTGGATAAAATCTTTAATATCAACAAAACTGCTGGCAAGTTCCAGAGTTCTGTTTAGGACCAGATATGGTTTAATTCATTTTCTTTGACTTACACACTATATGAAAGATTTCAATGTATCCTGTCAAAATTGATGTATGCGAAGTTGACTGTATTGAAGGTTTTAACCATTACATGATAGTCTGCATCTAGGCAGACTGGATACGCCATGTGATATTTCTTTACTCTATAGGGATTTTTAATTCTGGCATTTACCAGAGCTCGGCCTTCTCTTCAATAAGGATGTAATTACTTTCTTTTCCTCCCCAGAGTTGGACAATGGACAAGACAATAAACACCCACATATAACATCATGCAGTGGAGAGAAGTCCCATCTGTGTTTACATTGCAGTAAGACATTTACAGATGAGAACACTCTTATACTACATCAGAAAACACACCAGGGCGAGTATGAGCTAAGAAGCCACCCTAGAACACAAACTGGAGGGAAAATTTTCAACAGGGGAGAAAAGCCTTATCAACGTCCCAATTGTGATAAAGGATTTCCTGAAAAGAATAATCTTAATCGTCACCTTAGAACACATACAGGAGGGAAACCATTTAAGTGTTCTCAGTGTGATAAGGGATTTTCTGTAAAGACTAATCTTACTGCCCACCTTAGAACACATACAGGAGAGAAACCCTTTAAGTGTCCCCATTGTGATAAGACATTTTCTGTAAAGACTATTCTCACTAACCACCTTAGAACACATACAGGAGAGAAACCATTTAAGTGTTCTCAGTGTGATAAGACATTTTCTGTAAAGACTATTCTTACTGTCCACCTTAGAACACATACAGGAGAGAAACCCTTTAAGTGTCCCCATTGTGATAAGACATTTGCTCAAAAGTCTGTTCTTACTAACCACCTTAGAACACATACAGGAGAGAAACCCTTTAAGTGTCCCCATTGTGATAAGACATTTTCTCAAAGAAGTCACCTTACTAGACATTTAAGAACACACAGCCTCAACGAAAAAGCCTCAACGATGTTCCCATCGTGATAAGACGTTTTCTCAAAAGAATGAGCTTACTAGCCACCTTAGAACACATACACAAGAGAAACCTTTCATCTTTTCCCAGTGTGACAAGGCTTTTACTTGCCAAAGTAATCTAGGAAAGCATCTAAGGACGCATACAGGAGAAAAGCCTTTCACTGTTCCTATTGTGAAAAGGGTTTTTCTGAAAGAAGTATTTTGGATGGGATTATATTTAAAAAAAACATATTAATGAGTAAATTAACATCTTTGCTGCATTTCATAGGACCATTTAGACACCTTAGAACACAAACATAAGTGTTCCCAGGACTTGCTAAAGTTATCTTAACCATTAAGAACACACAGTGGAGAAAAGCCTTATCGATGTCCCAGTGTAAAGGATGAAAAGACTATTCTTGCTTTTGAAACCCTTTATATGTTCCTTATAAAAGTACCCTATATAGACATTAAGAACACACAGCCTCGATAGAGAATGTCCCATGAAAAGACTGACCTTAGAACACATACAGGAGAGAAACCATTTAAGTGTTCCCAGTGTGATAAGACATTTTTGTAAAGACTAATCTTACTGCCCACCTTAGAACACAAACAGGAGAGAAAACCTTTAACAGTTTGATAAAAGTTATCTTACTACCCATTTAAGAACACACAGTGGAGAAAAGCCTTATCGATGTCCCAATTGTAGGTAAAGGTTTTTATGCTAAAGTTATCTTCTGCCATTTAAACCACCAGTAGAGAAAAGCCTTATACGATGTCCCAATTGTGGTAAAGGATCTTCCTGAAAAGACTATTCTTGCTGCCCACCTTAGAACACATACAGGAGAGAAACCCTTTATATGTTCCTAGTTTGATAAGGGTTTTCCCTATAAAAGTACCCTATATAGACATTTAAGAACACACAGCCTCGATGAAGAGCCTCATCAATGTCCCAATTGTGATAAAGGACTTCCTGAAAAGAATAATCTTACTCCTGACCTTAGAACACATACAGGAGAGAAACCATTTAAGTGTTCTCAGTGTGATAAGGGGCTTTCTGTAAAGACTATTCTTGCTGCCCACCTTAGAACACATACAGGAGAGAAACCCTTTAAGTGTTCCAAGTGTGATAAGGTTTTTACTTTCCAAAGTTATCTTACTACCCATTTAAGAACACATACAGGAGAGAAACCCTTTAATTGTCCCCATTGTGATAAGACATTTTCTCGAAAGGCTATTCTTACTAACCACCTTAGAACACATACAGGAGAGAAATCATTTAAGTGTCCCCATTGTGATAAGACATTTTCTCAAAAGACTAGTCTTACTACCCACTTTAGAACACATACAGGGGAGAAACCCTTTAAATGTTCCTAGTGTGATAAGGGTTTTCTCTATAAAAGTACACTCATTAGACATTTAAGAACACATAGCCTCGATGAAGAGCCTCGATGAAGAGCCTCGTCGATGCTACCATTGTGATAAGAGATTTTCTCAACAAAGTACTCTTACATGTACCTCTCATGTAAGGACATACATGAGAAAAGCCTTATCAATTTTCCAAGTGTGATAAGGGTTTTTCTCAAAAGGCTAGGCTTACTAACCACCTTAGAACACATACAGGAGAGAAACCCTTTAAGGATTCCAATTTGTGATACAAGTTTTTCTCCAAGAAGTACCCTTATTTGACTTTTAAGAACACACAGTGGAGAAAAGCCTTATCGATGTTACCATTACGATACCAGTTTTTCTCAACAAGGTGATCTTAATTTTCATATTAGGACACATACATGTACTAGAAAAAAAAAATGAAAATGTTTCGATTGTAATATGAGATTTCTATCAATTGGATGTTATTAGCCAGCTTGGATATATATTACAGGTAGGAAACCCTTTAATTGATCCGTTTGTGATACAGCTTTTTGTGAACAAGGTCATCTAACTTGTCATGTTAGACACACACACACAAGAGAAAAACCTTATAAATGTAGTGATTGTAATAAGAGATTTTTTTTTTATAAAAGGATGTTACTAGCCACCGTAGAACACATACAAGAGAGAAACTCGTCAAGCGTTCCTAATAAAATAAGGATTTTCTTATGAATGTGAGCTCACAAGGCATATAAGAACATAAATGTTCAGATTGTATTAAAGGCACACTGCCATACTTGTAGCTACTTGCTCCCTCTATATAGAAAACTTCCCTAATCGGTGCCTGTTGGTCCCCCATGATCCTCTTTTTCTTATGTTAAATGAGAGCTGAGTTAATGAGATAGCCACCTGTCACAGTGACCTCGATGGCTCTCTGTGTGGTCTAATCCCTTCTGGCCCAGTAGTGGTGACGATCTTTAAGAGATTTTCTTTTAACAATAATCTTACTAGTTACTGGAGAAGAGCCATTTAAATGTTTACTTTGTTCTAAAAAGGGATTTTATCGTTTATACAGTGAATGATCTTGCTAATTGACTATTAACACACAGAGTAAAAATGCCACATAAATATTATCATTAGAACAGATGGATGGATTACTAACAAACTCATGACATGTGTGTATCTTGCAGAGCCAATGAACTGATTAGATTTGAGGGTCATGAGGTCAAAGATCAAAGGGTCATACATGTATATCAAAAAAGAGCTTGTAATCACGATATTCTGAGAACCTGTTAATGTATTACAATCAAACTTGAATATTTTAAATTTTTTTTTTTTTGTTAGTAAAATCGCTCTATTACCCCGGGGGGAGTTGAGGTGAGGAGCCCCTGAAAGCTCAGGGGTTTTAGGCATTTAATTATCATGGTCAGATATTGTATTTGTGCCAGGGGGCTGAGCCCCTTGAAGCTCAGGTTTTTTTAGGCATTTCATTAAAGTCAGATGACTTGAGGGGCCCATCTTAGGGCCCTGGTGGGGGCTGAAGGCCTGACTGTAAATTTTGGATTTTGATATTTTCCAACAAACGCACTTACAAAAGAAATTGAGAAAAAATCCCAGAAAATCGTGTCATTTCAGCAACATTTGTAAATCTCTAGAGGTATCGAATGAGAAATAAACCTTGTTTGAATATTATTTGGGGGCGGGGGGAAGGGGGCAACTGCCCCAAGCCCCACCCCAACCCGTCAGTACGCCAGTGTTGAGGGGATCATGTCTTCTCATCCATATGATAAAAAACATACACTCTTTTCCATTCCTCTCACATAATTTCCACGATATGCGCCTATTGCTATTTTCAAATCCTCCATCGATAAATATAGGGGCATGCAGAATATTTAGGAAATTCAATTTCTGTTTACTCTCCTTTTCTTTGGATAGAATATAATTTTTGTTGTGATTCAATTTTTATTGTATTTTTGGTTAAAAAATACCTACCATTTTCACTCCTTTACCAGTGATTTGTTTTTTGTGGAGCGAAAATGCGTTTTACCCCACCCCCCACATTTTTCCCTGCCCCCCCCCCCCTCGTCACCTCTGGCGCCTCTGCTACATATAAATGTCCAAAATTAGGAACCTTAGAACACATACAGGAGAGAAATCTTTTAAGGGGTAACCTCGCTAGTCTTAAGGACTACAATTCATAACGTGTAACTTCCTATACATGAAGAAGCGCTATTAATAAAACGGAAAGGAGGTCACAATTTGTAATGTCATAAGGACCGTTATTCATAAGGACCGCTATTTATAGCGTGAGATAAGGGTTGCTATTCATTATTTATATTGAGGGTCATTACTTGTAAGGACAGGCCTCTACTCATAATACCAAATGAGGGTCGCTATTCATGAACATGAAGAAGGGGCGCTATTCATAATTTACAGTGGGAGTCACTACTCATAAGGACCGCTATTCGTAATTTATATTGGGGGTCACTACTCATAAGGACCGCTATACATAATACAAAATGAGGGTGAAATGTGTAAGACTATGTTGATGTATATATTTTCAGTATCATGAAAGTAGATTTCAGCGTCATGAATTCATGTAGCAAAATTGTGTGTACTGTGAATTTATCACAAAACTTCAGGAGGGGGGGGGGGGGGATGAAATGGCATGCTTGAAATAGGATTTCATTTTGCAAGCTAAATGTACCCCCAACTTTTTTGGTACATGCACTTCATAAATGATCAATTTCAATTATTCTACTCTCAATCCTCCCTCTCTCTCTCACATGGTGCACCCGCAGGCCTATACTCATTGTATATCCTATTTTCGGATCGAGGAAGCGATATCTTTTCTCGTATATGATGTCACGTTTTCCCCCAAGAAGACATTTGAAGGGATAGTATTTATTTTTGTAAGTTCACTGTAGAAAATATATTTCTAGATAGAATGTAACATAGATACCGGTATTGATATTTTTCTTTTGTATCTTTTATCAGATTTTTAAT